CATCAGCAAAATCTCTGTGTGAAAGCTACTATTTTAAGTGACACTTTGCAACAAGTTAGAAGTATTGTTAACTACTTTCCTAGAATGCAATACCGCATGATCAGTTTTGTAACATTCTAAAGTTGAACAGTGAAGTATTCAGGGTGGATTTGCCTAAAGTGTGTTGGCTATCACAGGAACAGGTGTTAGTCAAAATCTTATCTCTGCAAAAACAGATAGCTAAACTGTATGAAGAACAGAATCAGCAATGTGAATTATCGAAAGACAATTTCTACAGAAATGCAGCATTTCTATGTCATATCATGTCAAATCAAAATGACTTGACTATTTCTTTGTAAGGTAAACCTAAGTCTATATTATGATATGTGCCAAAAAATCCAAGCATTTTGAAAAAAGCTTGCTTTCTTCAAAACACTTCTTTGAAAGGAAATTTTGGATGAACATTTTTCCCAGTTAACAAAGGTCATTCATGAGCGGATGATATGTGCAACTCATTTGAAGAATATGCAGCTGTTACAGACCTATTAATTGGAAAATACAATGGAAGTTTCACTGATTTTGAGAATCATGATATCGCACTCAAATTAGCATTTCCGCCTCACCTAGTTGATATCACCAAGGCACCTAAAGAAATACAGATGGAATTGATTGAGCTCTCAGTAGATGACAGTTTAAAGTCATTGATGCTAAGAAAGATACAATTGAAATATGGAAACATGCAGTAGAATACCCATAACTTTGGCGGCATGCTGGAAAAATGCTTTCTAGCTTTTCAGCCACTTATTATTGTGAATCTATTAATACTAAGAAGTGTGCAACCTAGATCCTTCACTCGTGCAGTTTACAGTAGGATTCAAACACCTATTAGAATCTAATGCCTCCGCTGATCTGACAGAAGATAGAGCTTATGTGGTAATGTAAGCGATAGGGAGCTGCTGTAAATACAGTTGAAGCTTCACTCCATTGCCCACTGTGCACCTCCAGCTGTGCAACCTGGTCCCTAACAGGCCGTGGTTCAGAACCACTCCATGGCCCAGGGGTTGGGGACCACAGATCTAGAGGATCAACTGAAACTACAGACCTCCATGCTGCAACCAAATATTCAAATGCTTTCCAACAAACAGTAGGCACAACAAAGTCATTAAAATGTTAGTTAACTTAACACATTGGCTGCCACACTAGAAAAAATTTTTCCTTGGAGCCACGGTGTTTTATTACAAAAACAAAATAAAAACACTAGAAAACAAAATGATCCTTTCTAGTGTGTTTCCCCAAAATAAGACAGGGTCTTATATTTATTTTTCCTCAAGAAGACACCCTAGTGCTTATTTTCAGGGAATGTGTTATTTTTTTTAAGTATGATACAACAATCTACATTTATTCAAATATTGTTAAGTAGTCTTCTTCTGGAACATCATCATAACTCTCCAAACCCCGAATTCCATCCTGAATTTCTTGCAACTCTATTTCCTTTAGAACCATTGGCCCCAATCTCTCATGTTAAGCAATAGAGCTCTCATGGGGCAGATGAGAAGGGTTGTTCATCTTCTTTACTGCTCCGCGATGAAATGCATGAGTTGTGCAGCTATGCTTTGTAGCCACGCCCATCACTAGGTCTTATTTTCAAGGTAAGGCTTATATTGTGCAAATGCTTAGAAATCCTGCTAGGGCTTATTTTATGGGTAGGTCTTATTTTTGGGGAAACACGGTAATTTAATGAAAATTTTATTATTTTTTATTGTTTTCTGTGCATGAGTTATATGCAACTTGAAAAATAGTTCTCATAGCTCCCATGGTGATGAGTCATGTGAGTTACATATGCTTCATGAGGTCCTGGACTCAGAACTAATATGAGTTAAATACAACTCACATGCAGTTTATACATTAAAATTAATAAAGTTTTCATCTTTTAAAATTATTAAGTACATTGTATTCAATTTTTATAAAATAATGTACATTTTTAAGCATACCTAATTGAAGTTTCTTGAGGGTGCAGCCTTATTTGATTGCAGATAAATTAATGTGGACTTATAACATGAAAGGTTCCCCACCTCTGACTTAAGCCAATGACAAGACCCTTGAAAAAATTACATTGAATTTACAGTGACATGTATGAATGTAAAACACTGACACTTTTTGACTGATAGGCTAATTGAATCTCTAGACATGACAAGAGTTTGAAAGGGAGAATATGTGAATTAATGTGATTTTAAGTTAATTTTCCTCTTCATCTCAGAGGATCCTTGTAGGGAAGCCCTGGTAAAGTAAGATTTCATAATGGTGATTGATGTCATAGGGCAAGAATTTGATGGATTCCAGTGATTATTTACCTGGAATATGTTTATTTGGTAATCATTGTCTATTTTATTCAGACAGAGCATCAATACATCAATTAACAGTAGAAAAAGACACCCTTTACCCTTACCTGAAGCATAACCCACCTTGCCTCCTATGCACTTTAACATAGTGGGAGTTGCCTTGTGATTTTTATAATCATGTTCATAAAATAAACTTCACTGATTAGAAATATAGAAAAACCATATCCGTGTCTTTCTTCAAAGAAAGAAAGCAAACAATCATCAAAAAACATTCCCCAGGGTTATATGAGACAAAGCCACCCAGGTGTATCATCTCAACAGCCTGTTAATGGATCCTGTGAGGAAGGCGTAGAAAACACAGCAAACCTGCATGTTCCATTTTTTTTCTAATAACAGACCCTTAGAGATTCTAACAGGCGGACCCAGGTGTGGAAGCAAGCTGGAGTTCAAAAGCAAGTTGAACTTAGCTCTGCCGTGAAAATATTTCCATTTTTAGGTAACTTGCCAAGGATGAATAAAATGTTTTGAAACAGTAGCTGACCCGTAATTTTAGCCTAGTCCTCACCCACCATGTGAAACAGTACTTTGACTGGGAAAGAATCAGTTAAAATCAACCCAGACTTCTGTGTTGGTTTTTTGTTTGTTTGTTTTGTTTTTTTTCCTTTCTTCCTCCACCTATCTCGGCCTTTATTCTTCTCCTTCGGTTTTACAGGCTCTTGCCAACCTCAAGGAATAACTAGGAATAATGTTAGCATTGATTAATAGTTTTGCCATCAGTTTCCTGGTGTGAGTCCCAGATCACTCTCATCATTAACTCAAGCGTTTCTTTATGGGAATGTTAGATGTCAGCAAATGGCCCTCTTATAATTGGCATTCTGAAAGAAGCACAATTGTTCTTTTAACTAAAAAGGCAACATTTAGTACCTGCAGTGAAGATGAATTCATACATGCCAACATCCATTTGTCTTTTTTCTTTTGGGCGAATAGATTGCCCTCTAGAAACAAGAGAAATTTTATGACTAGATATTTTAAGAAAAAGGTCAAGATTATATGTTCTACTTATCTCAAACAATATCAATCTTCTGGTTTAATTGCAGCAGAATGCATTACTGTAGTCATGAAATAAATGTTTATCACAATAGTGATTTTATTTTAGGTAAGATGGGTATTTAAATGGGTAGTAGATGAAACCAAGGATTTTTTAAATGGCTTGTTATTTTAAACAGGGTAGGTCTATTTCATCATGTGGTCAGCTACATCCTGATTTCTAATAGGAAGAAAGAAAATGAAGATTTCTTCATCCATTTTCCAAGTAGTAAATTTCCAGTGCTAGATATTTGTAAGTTGTACATTAGCAAGCTGAACTTTTAAGACGAGGTTAAGGGCTTTTTTGTCAGTGTCAGTGATGGACATTTTAAACATAGTGAGACAGCATTTACAGGCTTGCTTCTTATTTTAAAAATAACCCTCAATATAAAATTTATTCTTTTGTACCTATTAACATATGAATTTCATGCCTACCCTTTATGTTCTTAATTGGTTACAAATCTGTCTTCTATCTTTACTAGGTTATAATCACCTTGATGTCTGTAACTGTAACTTACTCATTTCCATGTTTATAAAAACCTGGCTTGGGACTTATTTCATGGACATTCAATAAATAATTGTTGAGAATATTCTGACTCCTCCTACTCTGTTGTCATTTTTATTGGTAGTGTTTTGTGAACATAAAATAAAATATTATAACAATTTTGCATCTTTTGTACCAGTATCTAGAATTAAAATATGTCAGGTAAAGAAGTTACATAGTGAAAAGAACTTGGCATTTGAAAACAGAAATATTTGAATTGGGCAATCTGGTAGTTTAGTCAGTGTTTTGTAAATTGTGTAAAGAATATCTTGGTGGGATACATAAAAGATAATTTTTAAAAGGAAATAGACTAAGAAAACAAAACATTTTATATTGTTTCAAGAATTTTTTTGTTTCAGTTATGTAGAGAGACATATATAGAGAGAAAGACATACATAAAACTGGATCACAATGTAAAATGTAGGTAGTCATCAAAAAAGCTTAAAAAGTACTGAGCTTTGACATTTGAATGTTACTGATAATTCTGAGCCTCACATTCTTCATCTGCAAAATGGAGTTAAGAATAACTATTTTGAAGGTTTATTATGAGGATTAAGGGCAGTAATATATGCAAAGTACCTTGCACAGCTTCTGATATATATATAGAAGACAAGCAAAAGAGGTTGCCTTTTACCAAAACTAATCTATTTAAAATTTAATTGATTAGAACTCTTAATTTTAAGTGTACACAGAATTGCATCAAGACTTTAAATTCATTAAACTAATTTTTAAAATACTTTCTGATTTGAAAGACAACGATTTTTAAAAATTTATCAATACGAACATTGCTTAATTAATTCACTTTGTTTACTGAGTTTTCTTTGAGGTCATCGCTTTTCAATTCAGTGTAAGTGTTTTTAATTTACTCATCCATTCACTCAAGTAATATGTTTAGAAGTTGGAATATATCCAAAGAAACATGACAGAAATTTTTAGGAGAATACACACTAGTGAAAGCCGATGGAAAAGATTATGTAGGATGATACTGATTTCATGTATTAAAATGATTGCCTCATACCAGAAAGATTAAAGACATGGGTTCTTGGCAGAAGGAAGAATGAAGACAATTTATTGGAAGTTACAGGACAGTAGATTTCAGCTCAAAATAAGAAACAAAGAATTATACCTGAGACTTGTTCCAAAACATTATAGCTACCTCAGAAAGTATGTTCCTCTGAGAAAGCAGGGTCATGTAAATTATCTTTTACCTTGAAGATTCTGTGATTTTTACACTAGCTTTTTGGGGCTAGACATCCTGATAGACCATATAATAAACTTGTGTTTGACATTGAAGAGTCCCATGTGGCATATGCAAATCAGATATTTTTTGCATAAATGGACCTTAAAATTGAGTTCAGAAGAAGATGCTAAGGATCTTGCATATTTTTATCTGCGAGAGAATCTATGAATTTATCAGGTTGCTTATCGCTGACTTTATTCTGAATGTCTTCCTTTTCCATTTATTGCATTTGTCTTGAGTGCTTAATTAGCAACAAAAGTAGAAATCTATCCATTTGGTCATTTTTAGCAGTTCTAAGTGTAAATCTTGGTGCAAATATAGACAAGATTGGTGAATGTGAGCATGGGAACACCTATAAGAAAGAATAAAACTTAGAGGTGAATTGATGGTGGCTGAAAGAGAACAGTGACTGTTTTTAGAAAAAGGGTGATTAGTATCACCAAGAAGCAAACCCAAAAAAGGAATGTGGGGATTATAGGGGAGGATTTATCTGTAGCTTTTGGAAATGCTTTCAGTGGCTTTAGATCTTGTTGGGAAAATAGCATAATTTAAAAGATATCCTAGATCATAATGGAGTTTTAACACCTGAAAAGCGACCCCCTCACCTCTGAAACAATTTATAGATGAGGAATCTGAACTGCAAAGTTGGTGAACTGATTGTCTAAGTAGTGAAGAGCTAGGATCAAAACATATGCTTCTTGACTTTTAATCCACTGTTCTAATACCAGTCTTGATGAATTATTGTCCTGAAACATTTTCCTTGCATCCGATGGCCCCAGGTAGCTGAACCTTTTCTCTCAGGTGTTTTAGCCATGGGTTGTAATTAGGTCTAGGATCTTCCATTTCTCACTATCAGTAGTAATGAAGAGTAGCTTTGTCTGAACAGATTTTAATCTGAATGAAGCATTAGGGATCTTCTCATTCAGAATTTTCCAAATGTTATTTTAACAGTGAAGCCCTTTCTTCAAATAGTATGTATGCAGGAGGAGCTTAATATATAAAGCAGATTTTTTTAAAAGGTAGATGATCTAGTTGAAATGAGTATTAGAAAACTTGGACCACTGCCTGCTCCTACCTCTCACTCCACTGCGATACAACCACTAGGCTTCCAAGAAGTACCATAATTTAAAAAAAAAATACTAATTTATTGCCTTTGTTTTACAACCAAGTCTTCCTTAAATGCAGGGGAAAGAGAAAATTAATTTATGACATTCTAGGAGGAAATTTATTCTGTGTAATATGGCCCTTAGCAGGGGATTGCAGTGAGCATGACTCCAGGGGAATCCAGGGGATGGGAAGTTGTAAGTAAATATGAGGAAATTGGCCCTTATGCTGCTCAAAACAGACATAATATTAATCAATTTAAGAGTATAACTGACCCATCATTTCTAATACTTTTCCCAAAGAAAACAAAATCTGTGAAAATAGACATATTTCTCTGAGTATAAATAACTGTTAGTGCTGATGTGAAATAATTTCGTGTAGATGCCTTGTAAGTTCTGCAGCAATGGCTTTTTTCCAGGGAAATCTGCAAAATAGTAAGTTGTTTGGACAAGCCACCCTGTAATCTGATAGGATAGTGTCTTTAAAAGAAGAGACTGGTTTTCCTTTTCATGGATTTTCTGGAAATCAGCTGGAGCCTCCAGACCCTTCCCAGGATGAGGTTCAGTGATCTTTGGATAAGGGAAATAGAAGAGGGGCCAAGAACAAGCAATCACGATTTATATAGTTACCCAACGGAGAACTTAGTCCCAAGGCCAGGTTTGGTTGCTACTGATGTCTTTAATGATTACATTGCCAGTGAGCTCATGTCTTATAATTTCCTGGGTCCTGAGGCTCCCTCAAGGTGGTGGCATGTTTCTAACCTGCTTCAATGCTTTTTCCGTCCTGAATTCATGAATGAATGTTTAATATTATCTGCTGCTTCCTTGCCTGAAGACTCTTCTTGCCCAGTACCATTGACGATCTTAGCACATGAAGGTAACTCTCCTTCAGGAAGAAAATGAGTCTGTGTGCCAGTGGTGCCAATCACCAGCACGTTTTTCTTCAAATCAATGGAACATTGGTGTCTCTTGAGCATGTCTAGGCCTAGAAGCATATCCATGGGCTGCTCTTCCAGTATAGAGAAAGAGCATTGTAAGAAATCACCTTCAATTTGGATCTGAGCTAGATGAACACGGCCAATAATTCTCTGCGTGCCCACGCCTTTAGCAATCCCAGCCCATCGTCGATCCACCAGCCTCATGATGTTACATCTCTCGGCACAAGTCTGGCTCATAATGGTCATCTGGGCACCCGAGTCAACAAAAGCCTTCAGAGGATGTCCATTCACTTTGCAGTTAATGTAGAGCATGGCCACTTGTCCGAAACTCTCGGGAGCCTCCTCCATGGCTATGTTCATGTTTTCTTCGATGTTTTGTTGCCGGATTTCTTCTTCTATTTTGGCCTGAGCTTCCAGATCGAATGGGTCAGAAGAGAAGAGGCGAATCCTCTCTTGCTCTCTCAAAGTCCTTTCCCTCTGCTGCTCCATCAGGACCTGGGAAAACGTCTCAAGGTTCCCGCTGAGCAGAGCCTCTGCCAGGAGGGGGTTGCGTTCCTTCAGCAGGGACAGGTCGTGTGGGTTGGACAGCAGCATGCTGCGGATCAGGGTGGGGCTGTCCAGACCTTGAGAAGATGCTGCCTTCTCTCCGCTGGCCAGGCCGTGGGACTGCTGGGCTGCTGGTGGGGTGCGCTGCTGCTTCTCCTGCTGCTGCTGCTGCTGCTGCTGCTGCTGCTGCTTCTGCTGCTGCTGCTGCTTCTGCTGCTGCTGCCGCGAGCTGGACGTCCCGGGCACAGCGATGCCACTGAAATCTATGCGGGACTGCTTCGCGGTTCGTCCCGGAGGCCGGGATGCCACACTGTCCTTCTCGAGTAAGACAACTACATCGCCGGTTTTGAGGCCATACGACTCCAGGGAGCTGTTGTCGTCGGTGAGGAGTTGCTCCATGTGGATGAGCTGCATGTCTTTAGCCGCGACTCCGGACTCCAGCTCGCAGAGGGCGCGGAAGTTGCGGAGCTCGAAGTCAGGGGTGACCTGGAGGGTGAAGGCTATCTCGGAGAGGTTCCTCCGCACGCAGTACACGGTGATCAGCATGGCAGGGACCCAGGAGGGCCAGGTGGAGGGGGCATCGGGCGTTCACTGGCTGGCTGGGCTGGTCTCCGCTGGTGGCTCTGCTGCTCCTCCGCACGACGAGGTGTGTCCCTGGGGCTCATTCACCTCTGGAAGAGGCGCAGAAGCGCACCCGTCTCGGGGCTGCCTCCCAGCAGGTGCCCGCTCCTTGGCCCCATGGAGCCTTGGGGCTGCACGCGGCGTTCCAAGGTTCATTGGCATGTGTGCTCATTGGAACTTAGAATGCTTATTCCCCTAGAAACGAAGGTCCTCAAGGCCATTAGGTTCTCGGGCCAGCCCTTCAAAGCCTATGTAACACTTGATAAGAAGGAGATGACTTCAATTCTTCTTAAAAACAACATATTAACATTCGTTTTCTTCACTTTAGAGTTATATTCTACGTACTTTTACCTACCCCCGACCAAAGTGAGGGTTTGTTTCCTACATGGCAAGTACCGTTCTCTGTGGTTAGTAGGAAGGATAAGTGAGCCTTTTTGTTTGCCCTGGAGGAGCTCACCCTCTGGAAAAGGTTAGACAGGTGAATGGGTCAGTCAAGATACTAGAAGGAAGTACTTTTACAGACATGTGTGGTGTACTACTCTTACTACTGCCAGAAAAACAGAGGGTGTTTTTCTAAGGAGGAGACAAGCTGGATGTTGAAGGATGAGCATTTTCCAGGTGAAAAGTGGTTGAGAGTCACTCCAGATGAAAGGAATTGCATGTTGCAAAAGCAGGAATTCATGACAAGGCCTGTTCTTTCTAGAGAAAAGTAAGACACTCTGTGCAACGGGGGAAATTTGTACATGAATTTGAGTGGCAGGCTCTAAAAGCTGGGAAAATTTGGTTAGATCCAATTTATAAAGAATCACGTGTGAATCCAAGGAGTTTAAATATTATCAGTTAGCAAGAATCCCTCCTTCCAAAAAAAAAAAAAAAGATGAAGGAAAAAAGAAAGGAAAGGAAAGGAAATGGAAAACATTTGAAGCAGGTATTTGTGATTTTTTTTTCCAGTTAATTGACTTAAGAAAGAGGCTTCTTGCCACGAGTGGAGGACATACATGTGGCTGGAGGGCCAGTTAGGATGATTTTTTTTCATTGGTCAAAGAGGGAGCTATGGCTAGAATCTGAAGACCTAAAGAGGACTAAAGCCTAAGCAGTGGGGAGGAAGATGTGTTTGCCCATTGGATGCGGGGAGGGTCAGAGAAGCTGAGTGTGTGGGTAACACAAAGGGTCTCTACAAAGGGAGACTGAGTAAGATGAGCCACTGCTTTGAAAGGATGAGTGAGCCAAGCCTTTGAGGTGACCAGTTGGACATTGATTCCGGAGTAAAATGCATTGCGGATGCTACCCTGGAGGCCAAACATGCCTCTCCCTGACCCTAGGGCACAGCCTCACACACCCCACCCCACATGCACACACATACCCCAGAGTGGAAGCTCTCAGGATAAGGGTAAAGAAGTCTTTCAGGCAAATGATGGTTGGGTGGAAGTGCTAGAAAAATATACTAGTTATTTTTCTCTATGTTTCATAAAGTGTTTTATACTTTAAAAAGCTTGTGCTTCCCTGGCTTAATCCTCCCAGATCTGCCTACTTTATAAATCTATTTATTTATCCATTAACCAGGATAGTCAACATCATCTGCCTGGTCCCCCTTTTCCCATCCCCCGCCCCTTATTTCAAGTGTTGTCAGAAGGCCTGCACCATTACACCGTGATGGAGAGAAAGATGTTGCATCAGCCTAAAAGAGCTCTTTTTTTTTCTTGGCTCCTGTTCCTCATGTCTTTGTCTCAGATGGAAGACTATGTCTCATCCTTGTTCTAATTATCATAAAGTTTCCATGTTCATATTTATTTATATTAGAAATATTGACTGAATACCCAGTATATGTGAAGCATGTGCTAAGTTCTGGAGATACAGACATGAATCATGTGAAATATAGGCTGTATTCTTTAAACAGAGGTCCCCAGCCTATGGCGGGTTGTATAATTATTTCATTATATATTATTACAATGTAATAATAGAAATAAAGTGCACAATATATGTAATACGCTTGAATCATTCCAAAATCACCCCCCCCCACCACCACCACCATCACCACAGTCTGGAAAACTTGTCTTCCACGAAAACAGTCCCTGATGCCAAAAAGGTTGGGGACCACTGCTATAAAAAGGTCACAGTCTAAAAAAGGAGACATGTATGCGTACACACACACACATACGCACACAAATCGGGAGTAAGAAAGTATCCCAGTAGAAGCCTACGCACCTCAGGAGAAATTAATAATATTTGGAGAACAGATGAAGAAGATGGCAAGAAATATTGGGCAGGGAAGGCTTCCTGAAAGAGGTGGGCTTAGAAAGATGATGAGTTAGCAATGCAGGGTGGGCTAGGGTGGGGAAACAAAGGCGGACAGAGATGACCTAACTTAGAGCCTTTAATTAGAAGGCAGTGCTTCATGATATGAGGATTTTTAAGGGAAAACAATCTAGCATTGTAATTTTTCCCTATTTGTAGAGATCAGTGGCCCTTTGACCCGACAATATTAAGTTATTCAGTTTCTTCTGTGGTTCTTAGTATCCTGGTAAATTTATCAGAGTTCACTAATGGTTTGTCCTGAGTTTGGGAACAACCATCATGTGACATGTCACATGCAAACTACTCTGCTAAAGAACAGATTGAGAAATCAGTAAGATTTGGATTTGATGTTCCTTTTTCTTTTTCCCTGAAGTAGCTTTGTACAGTTTGTTCTTAAAACTGTAATAAGTTGAGATAATCCTAGGGCTTTGAGGTTTTTTATAAATAGTGGATGAAATTATTTTTGTAGAATAAGCTTTTTTTTTTTTTTTGGTAAAGCAAAAATTGAGAGGTCACATTAAAAGATACATCTTTTTTCATATATATTACTGTCATCTTGATATCGAACGTATTTAAATTCTATATGATATGTTTGGTTATCTTGCTGTAATTCTTTACTTTGGGCGGCATTTGCATTTATGTGTTCTTATCATTTACTTTATTTACTGGAACACACTCTGGAAAGCAAAAACTCTCAAGATCTGCCAGTAAACTGTCATCATTCCGTAGGTCACAGGATGTCAGGATTGGCAGGAATCCTTTGGGTCTTGTCTTCCAGCACACCCTTCCAGGCTTAAACCTCAGTTAATAAACAGCCTAGAATCCTGAAAAGATAAACACATCTCCTGGGCTGTTTAGGACTTCTGTTTAATACATTGTGTGATTCTTTCATTTACTCAGCATTTGGTGATCAAATATCTATATGTGTCATTCTCTTAACTTGAAATTTTAATTAAAACATCTTCCGACTATACAGTGACTTGGAGGTCACTAGAAGTATGTATGAATACTCCTAAACATAAGCTTTTATTATACTATAAGCCCCTATTGCATAGACTGTGAGAAATGGGTGATCTGAATTATATAATAGTGTTTTATATATATATATAATATATATATAATACACACACACACACATTTATATAATATATATTATATAATACTATAGTGTTAATCTAAGTAACCGAAGGTTATTGAAACTTTTCTTGAAGAGTTCTTTGTGAAATATTCTCTTACTTTTTGTCTCACTAAGTACAATGTAAGCATGTAATTGAATCTTTCTATGATAAGTGAACTCCTGCAGGGTCTCAGGGCTATCACTCAGAAATCAATTCTCATTGTATGGCCTAAATGCCCAGAAAATAGAAGAGATGGCACTGATTTCATACTGTCCCAGTAAATAACCCCAAAGTTATTTTTTGGAATAAATTTACAATAATACCATTTATAATTTATCTCTTTCTAAAAAGTTAATGCAGCAAAAAAAAAAAAACCCAATCCAGATAATTGATGATTCCACTTAGTACAGTCAGTTGATATTTAAAATAATATCTATTGCTTTACAAAGTAAAATAAATGTTTTTATCTGTGAAAAAAATAGAGTGCCTGCATAAATGTCATCATGTAACATATATAATAATTAACCACGTTAAGTAAATATATTTGCTTGCTACATAGGGATCCCTTTCTTTAAATGTGTACCTGATATTACTTTTAAAATGTAATTGAGACTTATTAAGACAGTTAAATCATCACTTGAGATTTTCAGTGCAATTTAGGAGAGATGCAAAATTTTTAAAGCTGTACCCTTAGGTTAAATACCTAATTTTTCCACTGTCCTTTTATTTGCTTTACAGTAATACAATAAATTGTTCCAGAACAGTCATAGATGAATAACATGTATATCTTCAGAGAGTTAATTATTTAATAGACACATTGAAAAGTGCCATAATGAACTATGGTACATTGGTATACTACACAGCTGTTAAAGAATGTGTGAACTGTCTTTAAGATATCTTCTGTATTAAAACAAAGAATTTTTCACTAGGATGGTAGACTGAGTTAAAACAAGAAACTTTACCTCCTACTTCAATCTCAATAGAAATGCTAGATAAAATATTTAAAAAGAAATGTTTCCAAAGCTGGGTTATGGATAGGGGCTTATTTATTGCATATATGTTTAAAAAATTTTCCATAATAAATAGTCCATATTTACAAAAAAAAAGTGCTTAATGAAAATTCAAGCTTTTATTAGTGTGTTTGGAATATAAAAATGTATGAAATGTAAAGGCTTAGTATTGCCTGTCTTGGAAGCTTAAACACCATAGTAAAATCTTTTAAATAAATACATATATAAACAGATATGGAATTGAAGAAACTCATGGAATCTGAGAAGTTAGTCTGTGTCAGTCTGCTTAGAACTGAGCTAGTGGATTTTCTTTGTTGTAAGGAGCCGGAACACTGGCAGAAGACACACACAGGTAGAAAGGAAGTGGGGAAAGAGAAAGAGAAAACACATGCCTGCAAGTTGCAGGACGTTTCCAATTACTTTGAAAGTGCAATTGTTAATCAAAGATAGTCATTTTCCAGCAGGGAATATTTTCATAGTG